GGCAGGCTCCCCATTCATGACATGAGATCTGGTCTGGGGGGAATGGGAGGGGCTCGGGCCACAGGGAAGAGGTGCCCCGCTCAGGGAGGAGCTCTGGGGCTGGGGTCGGCCAAGCACCCTGTAGCGAGAGGGAAGGGAGCCCTTCAGGAGGCAGGTTTGGGGCCAGACAGAGCCAAGAACAGTGGTAAAAGAAGTGGGGTCCCCCTGCAGAGAGGGGCTGGGGCCCTTCTGGACATGGAAGAGCCGGGCTGTCCTGGAGGAAGAAGAGAGAAGCAGCACCCCGCACTGGAGGGGGCTGGGAGCGAGCTCCTCCTCAAGGTGCAGGGAAAAGGAGGTCCCCGGAACGAGAGAGGGAAGGGGACCCTCGCACAGGGAGAGGCTGGTTCTGGACGAAAGCGCAGTCCTGCAGCAGGACCAGCCGAGGACTGGGGGCACAGCCTGGCAGAGAGCTGGAACGGCATGGGGTACCACAGCTCACCTCTGGGGTGGGGGTGAGCCATGTGGCCCGTCCTTTAAGGCTCCCTGGTGGGATCTAGGGTGAGAGGGCAGGCAGTCTTCCTCACTCATCCAGTCACTTCTCTGAGCTCTCCTCTCCACTCCTACCACCCCGGGTGGTCAGGTCCTGGGTCAGGTGCCCCGGACCCAGGAGACTCCTCTCCAACCCCACACTGGCAGGGACATTTTTGTTACTGAGTCGTTTCAGTCTCCTCCAACTCTTTGTGATCCCACTTGGGGTTTTCTTGTCAGAGACACTGCGGTGCTTTGCCATTTCCTTCTCCAGATCATTTGACAGATATGGAAACTGAGGCAGACAGGGTGAAGTGACTTGCCCTGGGTCACATAGCTAGGAAGCATTTGAGGTTGCATTTGAACTCAGCTTCAGGCGTGGCTTCCCCTCCCCTGTGGTGCGTCTGTCAATGAGCAACTATTAAGCACTTGCTGTGTGCCAGGAGGCGTGCCCGAAGGCACAAAGGCAAAAAAGGGTCGGGGTTTTGTCTGCGCCCACCTTCCTTGGCCCTCGCCGTTAGCTCCTCTCAGCTGGGGGGCCTGGTAGAGGAGGGGACGCCCCCGCCCCCCGGGGCCGATGGGGTCCCCCCTTATTATACATGGGGGAGCGGGAGCTAACAATGAGGTCTCAGCTCTCAGCCCCCCACCCAAACGACAAGAAGGGACACTGGGGGACGCCGCGGGGGGTCGGACAGCCGCAAACACTTCCCAGCTGGGGAACCCCTCCCCCGCCCAGCACCAACATTCCATCGCTCCTCCCGCCCGGACTACGCTACCCAGAAGTCCGCGCGCACATTCTTTGCCCTTTCCCACATTGCTCGGCGGTTCGGCTCTAAGGCGCGGGAGAGGCGGGGTTGCCATGGGGACGGCCCTCCCCCGCCTCAGTTCCCGAGCTCGCGTCCTTCTCACCTTCAATCACGATGCCGGGGCTAACCGCTTCTGGGGCGGTGCGCGGCGCTCTAGCGGCCTAAAGAGCTGGCGCCATAGTGAGACTGGGAGTCCCGAGCTCCTGCTGCGACTCGCCTGCCCCGCCTCCCGGTCTGCGGTTGTCATGGAGACCAAAAGGCAGGAAGCTGCCGCTAAGATTCTGTCACCTCCGCCTACTCCGTATTTCCGGGTGATTAGTCGAAGGCTAGCGCTTCGGCCCCGCCCCCGAAGCCTAATGCCCGACGACTATTGGCTGGGCGTGCCGTTTCTTCGGGCCTTCTCCAATGGGCGGGCACCGCCTTTCGCGTGCAGCTCCTACGTTGGCGGGCGGGGCTGGCCTAAACTGACAGCTGCCAGCCCTGCCCTCCCGCGCTCCCCGGAGACACTTAGTAACTGTCTTTTCCCTCCTCCCGAGGCACGGTTGGCCTCTGAACCACTGCCCCCGCCCCCACCCCCACCCCCGGCCATCTAACAGCCTCCGTTCGCACCCCTCCCCCAGTCAGCTCGGTCGGCGGCCAGCAGGTCAATCTCCTCCGGAAGCTCCCGAAGTCCCCGCCCGGAAATGGCCGAGCGTGGCCCCGGGCTGCGCGCCGCCTCTGCGCATGCGCGCCGCGGGGCCGACAGCGGCCAGAGCCGAAGCGGGGGAGGCAGCGGCGGAAATCACCGAAGCGGTAGGGCGCCCCGAGACCGTTGTCTAGGCCCTCCGCGACCGCCCAGGCTGAGGGCCTGGCTCGGGCCGAAGCCAGCAGGTAGCCTGTAAGCGAGAGAGACGGAGAGAGAGAAGAGAGGACAGCCGAGAATCCGATCTGGGGCAGAGGAGGAGAGGAGGGGGCGGGACCGAGAGCGGCCGCCGGGCGGGTGGCGGGGCGGAGCCGAACCCCACTTCCGAAGGCACCCGAGCGGAGCCGAACCCTTCCGGAAGGAGCCGAGCGCTTCCGAAGCGGACCGAACTAGCTACGGGAGCCGAGACGGGCCGCGCGGCGCGGCGCTGAGCGGAGCGGCCGGGGCCAGAACGCGGAGGAGCCGAGCCGGGGCCGGAGCCGGAGCCGGAGCCGGGGCCGGAGCCGGGGCCGGGGCCGGGGCGGGCAGGCGGCAGGCGGCGGCGGACAGTGGGCAGGGGCGGCCGGCCGGCCAGGGCCCCGAGGAGGCGGCGGCGGCGGCAGGATGATCAAGCTGTTCTCGCTGAAGCAGCAGAAGAAGGAGGAGGAGTCGGCGGGCGGCACCAAGGGCAGCAGCAAGAAGGCCTCCGCCGCGCAGCTCCGCATCCAGAAAGGTGCCCTGGGGAGAGGGGGGCAGGGGGAGAGGGTCGCCCCGCCCCCACTCCGGGGGCCCTGAGACAACCCCCCCCCCCCAACGGGGGAGCATCCGCCGCCCCGCCCCCACCTCCAGGGGGAACCTAGGGACCCCACCTCAGGAGTCCAGACACACATCCCCTACGCGGGACCCCTGCTGCCCCTCCGCCACTCTATGGGACACTTCCTTCCCCCCCCCCAATCCCGGAACCTGACCCTACCTTGCCCAGCTCCTGATCTGAGGGTGCAGATGATCGTCCCCAGATAACTTCTCCTCCTCTCTGCTCCAGACATTAATGAGCTCAACTTGCCCAAGACCTGTGAGATTGACTTTTCTGATCAGGACGACCTCCTCAACTTCAAGCTGGTCATCTGCCCCGATGAGGTGAGCCCCCCTCCCCCCCCAATATCTGTCACGATGCTTCCCTGGGCCTCTCCCACCCGTCTCTCCTGGTTTCTGTTCTTCTCCAAGCCATTCACAGGGGCCTGGGGACTGTGTTCTGGGAGGTACCTGGGGCAGGCAGCCCCAATGAGCCTCCCCTCCTTCCCTTTCCCTTCTTTCCCCAGGGCTTCTACAAGGCTGGCAAGTTTGTGTTTAGTTTTAAGGTAAGTCTTCCGAAGGGGAGGGTAGAAACTGTGCCCTGGGGGAGGGGCCAAGGGCCTCTGACTCTTGCCTCCCTGTCCCCAGGTTGGCCAGGGTTACCCCCACGACCCACCCAAGGTGAAGTGTGAGACCATGGTTTATCACCCCAACATCGACCTTGAGGGCAATGTCTGCCTTAACATTCTCAGGTAGGTGGCCCACCCCCAGCTCCCCCCGGGGCACAGGCAGGTGAGTGGGAAACAGAAAGATGAGGTCATTTCTGGCCTGTTGGCCCTTGAGGTGAACTTTGAAGGAAGCAGGCCTAGGCTGACTGCAGCCCCGACGGTCGTGGTCGGCCTGGCGCCGCGGGGAATCAGCACATCACCTTAGGAGCCTTTGGCAGTAGCCTTGAGGAGGAGATGGCAGGAAAGGGTGTGGGACCCCACTGGAGCTCAGGAGAGCCATCATGGGAGAAGTGACCTGGCACAGAGATGGGGCTCGAACCCACTTTTTTGACTTGGGGGGATGAGCAGCCAGCAAAACCCATGGAGAAAGGCAAGGCCAGGGGGAGCACTGCCTGCCTGCCGGACAGCGAGCAACGGGGGAGCGGGGGGAGAAGGAGGTGGGGATAGCGGGAGCAGGAGCCCCTTTGCTGCTTCTCACCCCGGGCTGGGGGGCGGCCTTCTTCCGCAGAGAGGACTGGAAACCAGTGCTAACGATAAACTCCATCATCTACGGGCTGCAGTATCTGTTCTTGGTGAGTCCCGAGGGGTGGGGGATGGAGGCGGGGTCTCTGCCTGCCTGCCTGCCTGCCTGCCAGCCAGCCTCCGGTCTGGGCAGCCAAAGATGGGGGCGGGGCCGGGCTCACCTGACCGGCCCCGGCCCCTGCCCCTCCCCCGCAGGAGCCCAACCCCGAGGACCCCCTGAACAAGGAGGCGGCCGAGGTCCTGCAGAATAACCGGCGCCTCTTCGAGCAGAACGTGCAGCGCTCCATGCGCGGCGGCTACATCGGCTCCACGTACTTCGAGCGCTGCCTCAAATAGGTGGGGGCGGGCGGACGGACCGACAACCCCGCCCCCCGGGCCGGCCCTCCTCCTCCTCCTCCTCCTCCTCCGGGCCCCTCCCCCCGGTCGGGGTGGGGGGGCGGGGCGTCCGCGGCCCCCGGGCCACATATTTATTGGGGGCCGGGGCCTCGCGCGGGAGTGGGGATGGCGAGGGGTCTCCGGCCGCACCCCGCCCCCAGTTCTCTTTTTGGGTTTAGTCTTTTTTTTTAACCACGTGATTGATGGGCGCCGCCCTCCCTCGCCCCAGTCCGGATCAGAGAAGGGAAATGAATTGGATTGTCCCCGGACCCGGTCCCGGTCCCCACCCCCACTCGAGTTTGTGTCAGGTTATTAAAGGGGAATGTTGATGCGGTGCTTCTGCCTCCTGGCCTTCTGTCCGTGCGTCCGTCCGTGCGGGTCTGGACCCGAACTCGCGGCCCGGGGAAAAGGGGGTGAGGGGTGGGGCTGGAGCGCCGGCGTCTGCGCAGGAGGGTCCTTGGGCCGCTCCGATCCCGCGCGCCTGCGTACTACGGCTCTCGGCACCCGGGAAGGACGCGCGGCAGTGACGTCACGGCGCCAGAATCCGGAAGCAGCTGCGGGTTTTGGGAGAAAGCAGGCAGCGAGGAGACCCCGGGCAGCGGCGGCGGCAGCGCGGGGTGGGTGGGCCGGCGTCCGGTGCGGGGCAGCGCGACCCGGGGGGGCCTTCCCAGAGGCGGCGGCGGTTGTGCCTCCAGTTTGGGGCCGGTGAGTGAAGGCGCCGCCCCAGCCCGGGGAGCCCCCACACCCCCGGCCCCATCCCCCCTCCGCGAGTCCGCGCCCCCGCTAGGCACCCCTAGGGACTCCGGTGTTCTGGCCCCGCCCCGGGCAGTCCCCAACCCACCCCCTCCTCGTGTCAGCTTCCTGCAGACCAGAGAGCCTGCTCCATCCTGCCCAAGGCGGGCATGCAACCCGTGGGGGTCAGGCAGAATTCGAACCCAGACCTTGCTGATCTTGGGGGCCAGCTGTCTGCCCCTCTGTTCTCCAGTTGTAAGGATAAGGAATTTGGGGTTGAAGTTCACAGCGAATGGGAGCAGTGAGGACAATGAGCCTCTGTAGGGTGAGTGGGCGGAGCCTGGGCACCTAGGGAGGTGGTCGTCGACATCCTTCAGGCAGGGGAGGAATGGGTGACCCTATCGTCCTAGGTGTCGTCTGCCCTTTGTAGCTAGACTCCCCCAAAAGTCCACCAGTGAGTGCCTCCACTTTGTCCTCTCGCCTCACCCTTACCGCCTGACTTCTGATCTCATCATCCCACCCAAAGTGACAGATCCAATGGCCTCGTCTGGATGTCCCTGCAGCCTCGGACACTGTTGGTCACTCCTCTAGATTTTCAGGACACCCTCTTTCCTGGTTCTCTCTCCTCCTGCCTCTCTGACCCCTCCTTCTCCATCTCCTTGGCTGGCTCCTCCTCCAGGTTATGCCCTCAGACTCTGTCCTGGGCCCCTTTCTCTTCTCTCGCCTTGGACTGAAGGATCATCTCTATGCTGAGGATTCTCAGATCTACCTTTCCCTGCTCCAAACTCTGCTGACTTCCAGTCTCCCATTTCCAATGGCCTTTCAGACATCTTGGACTGGTGCCAGTGGATATTTTAAACTCAACAAGTCCAAATCTGAACTCGCTGTCTTTTCCCCTAAACCTCTCCCCCCATACACACATTCCCTGGCACTGAAGAGGGCACCAACCATCCACCAGATTTCTCAGGCTCCTAACCCCAGTCACACCCCCAAGATCCAATATGGTGCCAAGGCCTGTCCCTTTCACCTCCACACCATCTCTGGTCCATTTCACCTCCGCTGCACCTCAGCTCCATCTCTCCTGTGTTTCTTCCTTCTCTCCTCTGATAGTAACCCCACCCTGGTGCAGGCCCTCATCACCTTATACCTGGACCCTATCATACAGGTATCAAATACAAAATGCTTTGTCTGGCCTTCAAAGCCTTTCACCACTTGCCCCCTCCTCCCTCTCCAGTCTTTTTAGTGACACTGGCCTCCTGGCTGTACCAGGAACAAGACCCTCTATCAGCTCCAGGAATTTTTTCTGACAGTTCCCCAGGCCTGAAGCGCTCTCCTCTCCATCTGCTCGACCTCCTAGCCTCCAGTCAGCCAGTAAACATTTATCAAGTGCCTACTATGCGCCTGGCACTGCACAGACATCCCCCACCGTCAAGGTGCTCTGTGCTCTGTCTAGGAGGGGAGTCTGCTGATGGGAAGAGCTGAGTACCAGCCAACACCCCGCCCACCTTCTGCAGAGAGCCTTTCCTGATCCCTCCCCTCCCTTGATGGAAAGCGAGGGACTGTCTTTTGCCTCCCTCTGTATCCCCAGAGCCTGGGCTCTGTGACTGACTCTTTGCTTCTGCAGCTCCAGCGCCACCATGGACCTACTGTTTGGGCGACGGAAAACTCCCGAGGAGCTGCTGCGGCAGAACCAGCGGGCCCTGAACCGGGCCATGCGCGAACTGGACAGGGAACGTCAGAAGCTGGAGGCCCAGGAGAAGAAAATCATTGCGGACATCAAGAAGATGGCCAAGCAGGGCCAGATGGTGACTGGACCCCCCAGTCCCAAGATTTCATATCAGGGTGGGGGGAGGGGATGGAGGGCCCAGTCCCCCTGGCTGAGTTGTGGTTCTTGAGGGAGATGACCCTTCCCTCCGACCTGGGCTCTTGTCCCTAGTCCTGGCTGGGGAAGAGCTAAGAGATCGTTCCCATGGGAATCTTGGCCCTCCTACCCTGGAGCCTCTACGATACCACTCTCCCTGCTCAGGACGCCGTGAAAATCATGGCCCGAGATCTGGTACGCACGCGCCGCTATGTCAGCAAGTTTGTGATGATGCGGGCCAACATCCAGGCCGTGTCCCTAAAGATACAGACACTCAAATCCAACAACTCCATGGCTCAGGCCATGAAGGGCGTCACGAAGGCCATGGGGACCATGAACAGGCAGGTACAGTTGCTCCCTGGAGCAGTTTGCATGAGGTGGGTCCATAGGGGCCTGGGCCTGAGCATCAGGCCAGGGATTGATGGAGACCTAGCCTGGCAGAAGATGGCAGCCCCGGAGGACTCAGGGATGGGTCCGTGAGACTTTCTAGTGACCAGCAGGAGAAAAGAGGTGGGGCTGGGACAGGCACCTTTGAGCAGGCAAGGGTGGGCCTCGCCCTTAACCAGGTCAGCCATCAGAGTCCAGGCTGTGCCCATCCACGCCCACAAAGGACGGTGTCAGCCTGGAGGTCTGGGTTAGGGGTATTTGGAAACAGGGGGTCCAGCCCACGTCCCTTTTGCCTTCCCCAGCTTAAGCTGCCCCAGATCCAGAAGATTATGATGGAATTTGAGCGCCAGGCAGAGATCATGGACATGAAAGAAGAGATGATGAACGATGCCATCGATGACGCCATGGGGGATGAGGAGGACGAGGAGGAGAGGTGCTGGGGAGGCCAGGGTCGGGGGACTGGTGTGAGCTCTGCCCTCCCTTCCTCCCTCATCTTCTGTTCTCTGCCCCTTCAGCGATGCTGTGGTGTCCCAAGTGCTGGATGAGCTGGGCCTGAGCCTGACAGATGAACTCTCCAGTGAGTGCCCCTGCCCCTGCCCACCTCACCCTGGCCTATGGGACCACCTGTCCATCCCTGACTGGTCTGTGCCTTTCCCTCCTACAGATCTCCCTTCCACGGGTGGCTCGCTCTCTGTGGCTGCTGGAGGCAAGAAGGCAGAGCCTTCTGCAGCCCTGGCTGACGCTGATGCTGACTTGGAGGAGCGCCTGAAGAACCTGAGAAGGGACTGAGCCAGCAGGGAGGGGAGGAGGGATGTGTTCACCCTGCCACAGAATAAAATTTTTTAAGATGCCATCGAATTTGGTTGTGATGGGGGAAGGGAGGCAGGGACATCTTCTGTCAGTGTGCATACCTCCCCTCCCCTGGCTGGCAGGCCATCTTCTGGCTCCCCATCTTTTACCTTCCAGCCTCATTTATCTCCCTGATCCAGCAGCTGTGACCACCGCCCCAGCCAAACCCACCACTATCTGTAGCCAGGTGACAAGATGCTCAAAAGAACAAAAGAGCAGCTTCCCAAGTCGAGGCAGAGAGAGGCATGGCTGGCAAGTTTATTGGATGGGTGTTTCAGTGAACTCCAAGCTCAGTACAAGAAGCAGAGGACAAAGAAAAGTTGACAGCTCCTGGGCCTCACCTAGGTGGGGCGCCCCCCCCCCCCAAAGCCCCTTCTGGGAGAGATTGTCAGGAAAAACTAACCCTACTTCCCAACCGTTCAGACCTTGAGGGGCCAGAAGCGGGTGTGAGGGCCCTAAGAGGGAAGACTGTCTACTCTAAATGGAAGGGGGAAGGACCCTCAGGCTGGAGTCCTCTCCTGTCCCTGGGCAGCAAGCTGTGCCTCCCAGAGAAGCCTCCCACTAAGGGGAGAGGGAACTCTGCTCCAGCCAGGGCGGCCCAGGAAGCCACCGTGCCCACCAGCCAGCCCTATTGCCAGGGACTCCCAGGACACCCCGCTTGCTCTGGGTCTGTGTGACCTTGTCTCCTGGGTTACGTTTTTATTAAATCAGAGAAGTAAAAACTGCATCTGGGGATAGGATACAGAAGGACCAACAGGTGAAGGAAGGAATGAGTGAGGGGATGATGGAGCCATTCTGGGGCAAGGTGGGGGCTCAGTTACCGTCGCTGGGGCCCCCCACCAGCTCTGGAGGGGCCAGGCCAGGGCCTGGGATAGGGGGAGGGAGGGGCTCCACCAGAATAGCTGAGAACTTGGTGTCCCCAAAAGCCTCGTTCATGCGAGTCTCAAAGAAGCGTTGAAGGCCAATGATCGACTGGACATCAGCTTTGTCCTGTTTGTTGGAAGAAGTGTCAGGTACCCACCGGCCTCCCCCCACTGCTGCCACCTCCACCCCCACCCTCGGTCCCCACCTCCTCACCTCTGTGAGTTTGTTGAACTGCTTGAACATGCGGCCCACATCCTGGGCAAACTCCTGTGGGGAGCTATATGGAGGCGACAGCTTCTCCTGGAGGCGTGCGCGGATCAGAGTGAGGTCCAGAGTGCCCGGCTGCTCCGCTGAGGGCGTGGGGTCCGTGGCCAGTCGGTGCAGGGGACGGCACGGCTCATGGCAGAGCAAGGCCAGCAGCACACGCTCACACTTCTGCAGGGTGAAGTAGGAGCTCAGGCCCATTGCTTTGGCCCCGCCCTGCCCCACCCCTGGGTGCCCACCCCTGTACCTGCTGGTTAGTAGGTGACAGCTTGGCAGGGCAGCTGTCCCCATCGGGGGTCAAGGCCACACTCTCGGGGCCAGGAAGAGGGACCTCATCTTTGCAGTCCACCACCTCCTGGCACAGGGAGCAGCTCCACTCCTCCCTGGGGTGTGTAGGAGATGCAGAGGGGTCAGTAAGAGCTATGGGCGTCCTGGAGAGGCCTGCCTTGGACCGGCGCTCATCTTCCAGCAAGGGCAGGAGTGTTCCCTCTCAAGCTCCCTCCCTGAGCCTGCCCCCCACCCCAGACGACAAGGGAGGCCACTGGACCCCCAAGGGGAGCCCTCCCTGCAGGGACGCTGTCACCATCTCTGCCCATAAAGCCCACCAAGGCCTGCTCCTGAGATCATCCTTTTGTCCCCCCCCTCCACATACCCAGGCACCTCCTGCAGGGTTGGCAGGTGACACTCCAAATGGAAGCAGAATTCACACTGGCTACACATCACCAGGTCCCCTGGCTTCTGGCAGACACGGCAGATGGTGGCACTGTCATCCACGGCTCCGGGGCCACCAGTGGCAGCAGTAGCCACGGCAGCGGCTGCGTCGGGGCCTCCCAGCACTTCCAGGCCAGAGCTGGTGCTGCCGCTGGGGGAGGCCAGGTGGGGGCCCTCGGGCCCTGAGGCCTCCAGGGCAGGCAGCAGCAGTGGCTTTGTCTCTAGGCCCTCCACCCCTGGGGGGGCACCGATGGCAGCCTCTGTCTCTTCCTCCTGGGGAGTAGGGGTGGGGTCTGTGAGACCAGGACCCTGCGCTCCCTCGCCCCCTCCTCCCCCTTCAGGTCTCCCTCGCCCCTTTCTTCCCCTTGACCATGGCCATGGGTGGCATAGGAGGACCCCCTGGTGCCCCTGGCTGGCCCCCCCTCTCGATGACAATGAGGTTGTAGTCTTCATTGGTGGTCCCTGGGAAGACCTTGAAGACTGGGGGCTGGCTGTCTGCCGTCAGGTCCAGATCGAGGCGCTCCAGGCTCACCCTGGGCACCTTCCGCATGAGGCCACTCACTTCACCCTCACCCGATCTGGACCTGAAGAGAGCAGGGGTGAGACAGGCCAAGGGCTGGACTGGTCTGCGGTGCCCCCCCCACCCCCAGGAGAGGCCTCAGCCTTGCCCCACCCTACCTTTTCATTCCAGACACATTGGGCTCAGCACTGTAGGGATCATCTGGGAAGCGGGAAGGACAGTAAGGCATTAGCACCCCAGGGTACCCCCTTCAGCCCGACCCAGCCCTTCTCACTCCCACTCACCTGGGCCGTAGCTCCCATAACCTTCTTGCAGATCCATGGCCTAGAAAACAGAAGACGAAACAGGAGTCCACAGCCAGTGTCCTGGCCCCTGCCCCACCCCCAAGGCCACCAGAGTACCCCCCACAGCCCAGTGCCCCCCTCCCAGGAAAGTACCTTACCTGATTCCCTCCAGGCTTGCCAGGGGGCCGGGGAGGGGCCATGGAACCGGGACCACTCCTCTCTGAAACAATCTTACCTGTGGAGGGAGAAGGCAACTGGCTCATCCCCCTCCGGTCCCCAGCCCCATGTCATCTTTGCCCAAGACCAGACTAAGGAGGCCTGGCTGGGTCCCACCCTGGCCCAGCAGGAGCAAACACCCACCGAAGGCCTCGGCGCTTTTGGTCCAAGCGTTGAGGTCCCACTGGAACTTCATGTCCCCCTGGGGCTCCACGGGGTCCACAATCATCTTGAGGGCACGGTGCAGCTGGAAGTAAATCTGGGGGCCCCAGGCCCGGGTGAGGGTGGGCCCCAGGCCCTGCCCTTTGCCCCCCAGGAGGCCCCACCCCAGGCCCCGCCCACCAGGCCAGCCCCCTCACCAGCTTCTTGGACAGCAGCAAGGCTGTGTTGTTGTCACTCTCCAGGGCCCAGGAGGCAAAGCGCAGGATGTGCTCCTGGTGCCTCTGGATCTTGGTCATGGTCCAGTGCTGGCGTTCTAGGCGCTCCTGCTGCCCCTCTGTCACCTTCTGGGCGTCATTGACCAGCACTCGGCCGCGCTTGTTCAATTCTTTCATGATCTGCAGGATGGCCATTTTCACATCCACCTGCACCCGCTTCTGTACGTCAGTCACTTGGCGGATCCTGAGGGACAGGGAGGCGTGTCAGAGACCAGGGGTCATCGTGGGCCGCCACACAGCATCTAAGCATGGTGCACACCAACCCGCCTGGGACTCACGAGGTGCGCACTTCCTTGGTGTTCTTCTGCAGGGTGGCGTGCTTGTCCCCCAAGCGCTTTACCAGGGAGGCCAAGAGCTTCCTCTGGTTTCTCACAGCATCCTCCAGGAACTGGTATCTGCCCAAACACAGAGTTAGGGGGAAGCCAGCCCACCCTTGAGAAGCAGACCAGAGCATGTGGTCAGCCTTCCTCTGCATCCTCAACACTGGAGACCCCAGCCTTCCTGCACCGCTCACTTCCCATCTGCCCTCCCTGGGCCTCGGCCGCCTCATCTCAAAGATGGACCAGACCCCAAAGCCCTGGACTGCCCCGCCCCCAGCCATGGCAGTCTGATTAGATGCCACAGCACAGGTGAGGCTGACCTCCGTAATGATCTACTGGCAGAAACCACCAAGGGTGGTGAATCAATGGGCACCGGCAGCTTTAAGCATAACACAACCAGGGAGATTAGACCTGAGGTGGGCAGCCCACACCAACAAAGAACCCAGGCCTGGGACCCCTGAAGGCCCCCAAATGAGAGGCTAGAGCTGACAGACCCTGCCGGAGCAGGAGTTAAAGAAGAGACCTGTGGGCCCCACTCACTGATGCTCCTTGTGGGCATTGAGCTGGCAATCCCGGCAGGTGAGAGTGTCGCAGCTCTCGCAGAAGAGGACCAGCGGCTCGTGCTTGTGGACTGAGCAGTAGACAGTGCGCTCCCCATCGCGAGTCTTGGCGGGGCCTGCAGGCGTGCCCAACAGGCAGACGGATGAGGGAGCCGGCCTCTTCCAACCAGGCTCCGTCCCTGTCCCTCCTCCATCCCAACACGTCCTGCTAAGGAGTGCTGGGTCCTCTTCCCCCAGGCCCTTTTCTCCTTCAGCTTCTTCCAGGGCCCAGCCACCCTCCCTAGAGCCAGCCAAGCTGGGTGCACACACCAGTGGAGCGAACTGTGTGGTCCTTGGTGTACTTGACCCGCTGGTGGGCCTCCACACACGTCTCACACAGGGGCTCTGAACACTCGACACAGTAGCTGGTGGCAGGTGCATTGTCCTCGCAGCTGGTGCAGCACTAGGGAATGACAAACGGGCATCGCTGGCCCCACACTGCTCGGGAGGAGGCAAGCATACACATGCCCCCCTCTAGGCCTCTAAAGGAGCCAAAAGCCCAGTCTGGCCCACAGCTGGGCCAGGCCACATGACCCAGGTGGGGCATCCCAGCTCTTCAGGGGCCACAAAGTGAGGGGGAAAAGAGAAGTGATTTCCAGGACCCTTCTGACGCTTCTATTGGGTGGATGTCAAGAAGCCTGCCTTCCTTCTAATTCAAGGTGAGCTCACCTGGCTGAGGGAGTTTATATGAACAAAGCTAAACGAGCTGGGGGAAGGGGAAGGGGAGTTGCCATGCCGTGCCATCGCAAGCCAAGGTTCTCCTGGATGGTTGGGGGAGGGGGCATAGCTCACCTGGTTGGGGAAGCACGAGAACCAAGGCTCACCTGGCCGCCCCCCACCCCACCCCAGCACCAAGGAGGGCACCAAAGCTCACCTGGATGCAAAGGGGGGAGCACCAAGGCTCATCAGGATGGATGGCTGGGGAAGGGGAGGAGTGTCGATCACCTGGCTGCCACCCCCCCCCCAACACCGAGGCTCACCAGGATTGATGGGGGAGGGGGCGGGGCTCACCTGGCCGGGGCTGGGTAAACAAGGCTCTGCCAGCCCAGGCAGGGGGCGGGGCTCACCTGGTTGGCATCCTTGGTGTCCGTGGAGGTCTTGGTGCCACTGTCTCTCATGAAATAGTTCTCCACGATGTCCTTGGCGAAGCATTGCTGTTTGCAGACCGGGCAGTCCACCACTGCAGGGGAAGGGGAGCAGAGGGACCCGGAGC